AGCACCACTAGATATTTATTTATGGAATTCTCGCGCTGGCGAGCATACTGCCCCGCGCTGAGAACATAAAGAGCAGTGCTACACCCTTTTTCACTTGTGCCTTTCAAGTGAGCGACAGCCACTGACTGACAGGAACAAAGCCGACGCGGGAAACTTGGGCAAAAGCCTCGATCCTGTGTATCAATCCGTTAATCCGGGAGGCCGGCATTGGACTTTTATTTATGCGAATCCTCGAGCTGGCAAGCATACAGACCCGCGCTGAGAACTTAAAGAGCAATGCCACCCCGTATTTCACTTGCTCCGTTCAGGTGCACGTTCGCCGCTCAACGACAAGAACAAAACAGACCCAGGAGTTTCAGGCAAAAGCCTCGATCTTGTGTATCCATCCGTAAGTCTGTGAACCATGAGGAGGTTTCTCATGCAGGAGCACTGCGCGGCCAGGGACCCCAGTGTATCACTTCGTTAATCCGTGATAAATCCGGGTGTAAGCTTATTTTCCAGTTGAAGATGGTTTACCTTTGGCAGTAACTGACATGTTGGTTATTGTTTTTCCAGCCCAGTCGAGGAAAAGGAAGCCATGGCAACACTGAACGTTGAGTTTTTAATTTCAAGGTCACGATGACCCAACCACCACCGGGATTTCCCTTCTACCCGTTAGCAAACCCGAAAGGTACTGAATTCAAATGTGAGGTTTGCGGGAAGCCTGCATTTATACAGTGTGCAATCTGCCGGGTTACTTATTACTGGTAGCTGAAATTAACAAAAATTGTGATGAAATTTTAATTTATTCATTCAATATAGCGGGACAGAACATCAAAAAATCGACTGGGTGGGAATACATGAGAAGATATGTTCTAGTCTTATGGTAATAAGGAAGCCAGTACCGTTTATTGCTTCGGAGGATGAGAGGCGCAGTTTACGCGATGAATTACAAGATAAGAATGTAAGTTGTTTGTTGACACTTTTACGGTCATCTGTTGTCGGACTACTCGCAAGAATTTTGGAGCATGTATATTTAGTATTCATGTATGCAAAACTCACCCGAACTCCATTTCATGATGCATCACATGCCTCCACCTCGTTGAAGGAGGCTGGCATAAAACTTGGAAGAACCAGTGATGTCGTCATTTTTTGAAAGAAATGTTCGTGGTGGGTGCAGTAATCATAGAGGGCTCCGTGTGACCTTAATCACAACCAGATTCTTGGTGTCACTTACCCTTTGTTGTCTTATGGTACGTCGGTAAACGCTGACGGGAGAGAAACAGCCGAGTATAATTTGTGTTGACCAAGTCTTCACGCTCTCTCAGGTGTTTGAACCACACCATACATACAGACGCCACACGACTGTGGTATTCCTGCATTTCCAATGTGCATTCGACTCAGCTGACCGGCCTGTTCTCCTTAACATACCCATCGGGGAATGCTCCCGAAATTCGTTAACCTAATAACTTCTTTGTATGTCAGACTTCTGGGTGCGCGACTGCATACAGAAGTCACCCCATGACCTTACTTGCGTAAAGTAGTTTCCGCCACCGACGCCTATTCTCTTTAACCGTATCTAATCTCGAGACCAACAAAACGGCGAAACAAATACTAGATCTTCAAAACCTTGGTGTTGATCTAGAGTATGCGGATGACATCTTACTCATCTTCGAAAGGGGGGAGTACTTGCAGGTGTTTTTTAATGCACTTATGCAATTCATCCCGTCCTTCATCATGCGCTTTGCGCTCACATTTTGTAAGATCATGCAGTCGCTGAACACGTTACTCACAACGTAGGGAGGGGTCTCGAGCTTGTAAAGTGTTTTGCGTATCTCTGACTTTGTATCATTTCCGATTGTGGTGTGAGAGATGAGCCTAGTGCACTTATTTGCAAGGCTCCGGTCGCGTTTGAAATCAATCGATCAACTTATCAGCTATAAACCCTGGAGCATGAGCACACTAAATCTACTGGTTAATGTTTTCATACTTCGTTGCCGGGTCAGACACTGTCCACTTCTCGGTCGCTTCCATACCCTAGCAGCACACGCAGTCCAAAATAACTGAGTTTTCAGGTTATACGACGGTTATATAACCGTGTAATAACCGACTTTTATGGTTAACAAATGGTTATTTGCACCAAGATAACCGTCAAATAACCGAGTTTTCCGGTTATTGCTCGGTTAAATAACTGTCAAATAACCGTGCTTGCCGGTTATTGCTCGGTTAAATAACCGTCAAATAACTGTCTGCCGGTTATTCCTCGGTTAAATAACCGCTAATTAACCGTGTTTTTCGGTTATTGTTCGGTAAAATAACCGTGCTTGTCGGTTATTGCTCGGTTAACCGTCAAATAACTGGTTTCCGGTTACTGCTTGGTTAAATAACCGTCAAATAACCGTGTTTGCCGGCTATTGCTTAGTTTGACAAGCTATAGCTTGCCAAAAATAAGTTGTTATTGCCTTCCGACACCTGTCACAATAGGACAAAACGTCACCCCCCCCCAAGTGACCGTGTTAGGTGCACTCGCTTTCGGTGGTCACTGCAGTTGACTTCGCTTATAAAGTTAAATTTGTTGAAGATAGTCAGATTTGAATGCATAACTGCACATGCTACCGCACCAGTGATGTGCAGTTCTTCCATGAAAGTTTAAGCATCTGGATACCTAACAGAACAAAATGTGTGGTGTCTAAATTTGACTGTTATGTTTTTTCAAATGGTAAAGTAAGAAACAGACCTATTTTGTTTACGAAAAGCAGGGTAAAATCCGCGGAGGTGCTCAAAAGCCTTGAATTACCTAAGGCCATTTGAACTTACCACGAAGTCACATAGATTCGACAGTACAACTGGAAGGAACGCTGACGATACGGTGAACGTTTAAATATAGAATGGCCGTGAGTGTCGCTCTGATATAAAATTAATTAGTGTTCGTCCGACCGTGACCGTCAACTTTCGTTGAACTTACCAAAACATGCAGGCCTTCAATGACTAAGGACAAGCAAAATCCTTGGTCAAAATAGCTCTTAAAACACGCCACCTGTAAAAAATTCTCATAACTCTGAAGGCTCGTTAGAAAACAACGAATACAGTAATGAAGCAAATATTAACTGGATAGCCATAACCTTAACATTGCGCATCGAAGAATTAGTTTCTGATAAGATAGTTCTTTTTTGATAAATAGCGTCATTCATTTAATCTTCAAGTGTGGCATCTTCATAAAAGTGCTGATCTACAATGAGATCACTTGGTTCCTCTGTAAAAATACAGCGCGGCCCGCTCTAATTTCTCAATTCGATCTACATCGTGATCCACTCTGATAAGGTCAGCAGTGCTAATAGTTAAATCTTCGTAGGTGAACCCATTCAGCTGCAAAGTTTATTGTTTCGTGGAGTGAAAAACTACCTTGGTTTTCCTATGTTGCATCTGAACATAGAAATTAAAGATATTCTTCTTGGTTTTCCGTACTATTGGTCGCGTTTCTGGAGTCCTAGTTATAGTAAATGATAGAGGTATCAATGAAATCCGTGAAGTGTCTTGCGGCCGCTGTCGTGTATTCTAAGTTTGAACAGGGAATTGGGATCGATCCTTTCTTTAGCCTTTGAAGAATCTGGAAAGTGTTTACACAATTATGGCAAACAACCACATTTGTTTGTTATGGATGTGGCTGTGTGTGGTAGTGCATCACAAGTTTACTAGAGATGATAGAGTTTAAATGAGAAAGTAAAAGTCGACAACCTGCCGTTATATATTTGAAGGTCTTGTGAAAAATCAAACGATCTAACCGGATTGGTTTTAACACTCCTCTAGGATAATATGTTCATAATTAACGTGACCGTATTGGTTGGTTGTGCTGTAATACAAATCACACCAAAACATCACACACAAACAACCTTCGTACACAAGGCGTCAGATGACGCTAAGTATTCTAAAATTACTTGGAACAATATCTTATGGCGAGCAAACACAGTAAACTTAAAATACTGAAGTGTGCACTCTGTACCGCAGTGATATCAACCGGGGTTGGAGACCCCAGTCTGTAGTTTATGGCTTGATTAGTCAAAAACCCACTGAAATTCGAGAAGAACGTGAACATTTATGGAACATTTTCTTGCATTCTCCGGAAAAAATGACAAAATGCTTTATCTGCGCGGCAGCCTAAAAATGTTGACTTCATAGATTAAGAACCGCGTGAAAGCCTCAAAGGTGCTGTTGTAAGGGTCACAAAATTATTTTGTCCCAGAGTGCTAGGCAAAATTAACCTTGATTCGGTCGGTTTCCCCTATCATTCCAATGTTCAATGATCAACTGAAACTGAATTTTGCACAAAAAGCATTTCGTGGTTATTAGTTATAAACTGACTTGTTGGGTATTCGCAGTTCAAGGGTTATTCCAGGACAGCCTGTATTATAATCCCCACTGGAAACCACTGAAGGGTCTTTAAATGTATTTATTTAAAAAAGTTATCAGAGGCCCCAAAATAAAAACAAACCACATGTACTAGATGCAGAGGCGTCTCACAACTTGGGTCCCTTGCCTCTCTGGATCTCAGAGCACTAATATCGCTGGCTGATGCTTAAAAGTAGTCGGTTCTATACGAGTTCTACAGTGCTTTAATTTGATTTCTCAATTCTGCTCGCACAATTGACCCACAAACTTCTTTCTGATAGTTTGTCTTGTCCCCATACCTGTCTCAAATACATACTCGTATGTTGGCCACCTCGAACTCTACCTCCTTTAAACTGTTGAGCTCTGCTTTGCTAGGCACAAGCTTTGCTGGAATCTTTCTGTCATATTCTTCTTCTGAGGGGTGGAGCAACCGGATTATCGTCACTGAATTCGATAAGGCTGTCTTGTGGACAGATGGTTTGGTAACTTACTATAATTTGTTTGGTGCGTGATTGTATTCTTTTATATGACCTGCAAAGATCTGTTAAAAAGTTGCTGGAGTTGTTTAGTTATCTCAGACTTGCATTTTGAATGTAGTTTCAAGACAATTTAACAACTAACCATGCTATGTCAGTAGCTAAAAATCAGTTTTGCTCACTTTATTCTCTTTTCTTTTCAGATCGATATGGTTGCTCTCACACAACTTGTTGGACAAAAGTTACTGTTTCAAGGGAAGCCAGAGGAGGCCGTACCGGCTGCGTTGCAATGCCTGAAGTTTACTGCGGATGCATACGGATTGGCTAGTGTGGAACTGGTATCACCCTATTTGATTTTGGCCGAATCCAGTATTGGTAAGTGAGTTTGTGCTTTTGCGAATGAAAAGTGTGTAGAATGTCCCGGTCCAGAGTCATCACTGACGCTAACTTGAATTTTTCTTGACGAGGTTGTTATGTACAGTCCTCCTGATTACAATTAACGTCTCAGAATTATAGGCCACTCTAGTATACAAGAATACTATTAGGTATGACCAACTAGCGTATCCTCTTACAATCATTTCCGCGCTCTATGTCTTACATTTCTTTGAAATGACTTAAGACAACGATATAAATAGAACTGCCACATAATCGCTTGCTAACTTGAAAATGGAACCTTTAGAGAGTTCAGTTTGGGAATCTTTGAAGTGCGCGTGTTGCATCTCTTCTGATTGTGTTCAAGAATAGAAGAATATGATTTGGTACGAATTTTCATGGCAGCCGATATCAGTAGCGTGTGCTCTGGTGAGCAACCTCGTAATCATTCCCGTGGTTCCACACCAAAGGGAAGTACGGCAGTGAAGCATTGGTGTTGATACCTTTGTCGATGATGATGATGTAGCACTGGACTAGAGTTTCGCTCTAATTAAAGCCCATCAGCAGTGCATATCCAATGGCCGTGCCGGGATTTGAACCTCGGACACCTAACATGCGAGGCGAGCGTGTAACAACGTCATCACCATCATCATTGTCAGCTGTAATAACCGCGTACTCGTCGTACAGTGGTTGTAGCTGCCGCAGTTTTGTTCACCGATGATTTGGGGGGAGGAGG